GCGAGAGATTTCCTCTCGTAATGGAAAACATGCCGAACATTTCTCGAAAAAAAAAAGTCCCTTTTATTTGCTTCCTCCCTGCTTCCTCTTGCTTTGGTTTTTCTTTTCTCTTTTTTTTATAATTGCAGAAGATTCCAGTTCAGAGCTGCTTGAGGTTTCTCCTCTTGTGGTAAATCTGGATGCTCTTGGCGTATCACGCAGCGGCTTTGCCATGCCAAAAGCGCAGCGTCACTTTCGATACAAACATCCACCCCACCCCTACATGCTACCGCAGCCGCGGCAGAGGCGGGTAGCCAGTGGGCAGAATCCACAGCGCCCTGCCACAGAGCTACTGCCCTGTCATCCTCCCCTCTGTACCGCTGTGGAGAAGGGTCAGTGCCATGCCTGTATATACAGTTTCTTTTTTTAATTCTCCAAAACCGTTTTCATGCATTCTCCATGTACAGCTCATATGCTCTTCACTCAAATGTGTGCATGAAACTAGATTTTAATCAACATCTTAAAAAAAAAGATTAGCTCTGAGACAATGTTGGTCGGTTAGTTGGTTTGTCTACTACTTTATCTTAACAGTTATCAAACAGTCATGAAGGTTAGCAGTAATACCCATGAGAACTATTCCTGTAAACTGCCTCTGGTGTCACTGGCAGGTTTCTCGTGCTCGGCAAAATATTTCTAGACTTACTTGGTCGGCTGGCATATTTGTGGTCTCTAAATATTTAATCCACAGTGACTTTTGTGGTGCCCTCTAGCTGTACAATGACAATAACAGCATTCATGTCTTCATCAGAATGAATTGTTATTTCTTTGACATTTTAATTGTGCTCCATGACCAGGGCTAAATATTGATTTATCCAATACAGTGGTTTAAGACAAAACAATTAATCCTAGAATGTCAATCGTTGTGATGTGCACAGCACTTTTTTCTGTTCAAAATCCAGAGAAATGTTTTAATTAAAATAATTCCTCAGAAAAATAACAGTGTTCTCTGAACTGATCAGAGCTCTGAAGCTGAGGTGAATCATAAATGCCTTATTGTTTCAAGGTTCAAAATGTACATTTATCGTGTGTTCAGCAAACAAATGTACGATGTTCCCTCAGTTTTCATGCTGCAGCTGCACCGCACATTTTACAGTGTAATCCATCGGTTGCCATGAGGATGATGACTTTTTGCTGGAAGTTGTGACTTGTGTGTGTGTGATTTGGGTTAAAGTGAGGGGGACTTCTGGATCCAGTGCCAGGATATATTTGGAACGGCGGGAGGATGCAGGAGCTTCCTGACAGTGACAAGAAAGTCATCCAACCAACTTTGAGACTCCATTCTGGATTTTGGTCTTTGTCACTCCCGACACAACCACAAGGCAGTGGTGCTAACTACCCATAGCTGGGGATCTGGTTCGCGGCCATGAGGGCATGTTCACGCACCACTGCCAGGGGTCAGATCTCCTCCAATCCCCCTGTAGCTCCGCCTGAGTCCAAAGGGTGCTCTGTTGATGTGTGGCGTTACAAAGACACTATGTACTAGCAGGAAGGGACTTACAGACTCAGGTCAGCTTTTCATTGATCCACAAGCAGCGGCGGTTGCTGGTGGTGTAGGCGCGCACTAGATGGGTCACACCCACCAGATGACACACCAGGTTTAAACTGCTATTGATTTTGTGTTTTAAAATTTTTACATGTGTTGCTTTGCATATATCCAGCTAGCATGTTTACATGTTTTTCATTATATTTATTACTCGTCCAATAGCAGCCACTGGCCTCGTTGGCACCTGGTGAAAGGAGTCCAATGTAGGTTGATGAGTCTGAGAAGCTCACATCTGTCTGATGACAGCGATACTGAGGTGATTTAGTGAGGATGCTACTTTTTTTCCTGAATTTCTTTGTTGTGGATTGTTGGATACTGGTGTGTTAGAGCTCTAACTTCAGCATAATGCTTGAAGACGAGGATGACATTTTATTAAGTTGCTTGTTGTCTCTTTCGTTCGCATTTTTGCTTGATTGGTGAAGGGGACCCATTTCAGATTATAACACACCATGTCTGAGTCTGAAGGTCCAGGCATGAATTAAAACTTGCCTCCACTGAGTGCAAGCATCTATAAGTTGGTCGTTCTCCTGCCACAAACATAAAACGAGGTTGGGGGAACGGTGATATCCATCTCAGCCATGGCATTCAAGATGGCAGGGCAACATGGCGGCGCCCTGCAGTCTATGAGACTTCATCAGTTTGTTGGAAGATAATAATTACACACTAATCAATGTATATTTATGAGTCCCACATTTTTTTTCCATTGAATAAACTTCAAAAAATGACTAAATGTATCTTTACGAAGGAGAAAACTGGGTATAAGACAAAAATATTTATTCTTTATAGCAGGCTGTAAACATTTTAAATTCTGCTGTAAAGTTGACCATTTCATCTAAGAGATCGGTGGGATCGTCTGACTTTTTCACAACATTAAACTTGAAGGTGCGTGTTTGCTTTTGTGTGGTTTTCTGTTTGAGGAAGCAGGCCATTGATTGTATAGCATTAACTCCCAGCTACCTCCGTGTTAGGATAATGAACTGAATTACTCATTCAGTGACTGAATATATCCCGCATGTTTGCTCGCAGCTGACTAAGAGCTTTTAAGTGATTCAACTCGGTCATTCACCCAAAACATTTATTCTTTTAAACAAATTGATTGTGACATTAGCTGACATGCCAAACTAAGATGGTAAACATGAAACCTGACAAACACCGGTGTGTCAGCACTGTTATTGTGAGGATATTAGCCTGCCGACACATTAGCGCTGAGCTCAAAGCCCCACCAAGCTGCAGATCCTGCACGACTGTAAACACTTAGCCCTGTGTCATCTACCGTCAGGATGTAGTAAAGCAGACATCAGAGTGTCTGTTTATGCGAGTTTGTATGTATACTGGAAGGTGAAGATCTGCTCATGGCAGTAAACTCCAAACACGGCTGTTGACATCAGTGGTTTTCCCTCCTCTCCTCATTCCTTTTTTTAGGTTTTGCTCTAAAATACCCCGAGCCACCTCATTCTCTCCCTGCTTTACAAGTGTCTGTTTGCCTTTTAACAAGGTTTGCCCCTCCCGTGCCTGAGTCTGGACAAGTTGCCAGGATACAAGTCGTTAGAAGGAATTTCGGGCCCAGCTCGGTAAATCTGTGGAGGGCTCTGCAGGCAAACACATATGTCTCTTTAACACAGTTCAGTACATTAAAGTTCCATTCACGATGTGGAGAGTGTACTTGTGGAAGATAACGGGGTGTTTTCATGAGAGCTCAGCTTTGTCAGCAGGTGGTGCTTCGCTGCACAGCCTCAAAAAGAAGCTAAAATATTCCTGTGGATCCGATGTCTGTGAGTTACTGTTTGTCCGTCCCTCGGTCCAAGTGACCAGGCTTTTAAAAATGTTGTGGTCATCATCAGTGTATGGCCTCAATGTTGCTAAATGAATGGAGGTTTGTTGGTTGGCTGTGCTGGGAACAGGGTAATGTGTGTTCCCGCTCCAAAATTTAGAGTTTATGTCACTTGTAAAAGCCAGATTGACTGGCTTGTATATGGAGCCGAAGGGAAAAGGGTTGTTTATCTTCCGACTGACGTAATTCTGTGATTAGCTTGGGCTTTTTATACCTCCGCTCTCTATCGCGCGCACACAAACTCACACACACGAGTCTGAGCCCAGACAGACGTCGCAGCTGACCTGAGACGAGGCCCATATGAACCCAATTTTCTCCCAAAGACAACTAGAAACAACAGCAAAATATGCATGCTGACGCACACAAATAGGAAGGAAATCAATAAAAAACAAACAAGGAGGAGCTTGAGCGGCGAGATGAGAGGACACTGCCAGAGAGGGCAGGCGGCTGGAATTTAGCACATCTGTTCCTCTGGCGAGGCTCTCAATCACGTGTGATGTCATGAAGCCTGAACGATGGTCAGAGTGCGACCGTGTACGTTGTCTCCAAGCTCTCACACGCATTTTTTTTCACGCACGAATGTAAGATGGGAACTGAATGAGGTTTTTCAAGGATGTTTCATTCAGTTTAAGTTATTAAACGTGTAAAACTTGATGTATTTTTATTATACTAGGTCGACTGGAATTTAAACATTGTTAATGAAATAGCTTAACAGCTCCAGGGTATTTTTTTTTATATGATTTATGAGTTGATGAGTTTCCCACATTTCTCCCAAACAAAGGAAGAAGTTAAGGAATGTGTTGCAGAACTCATTATGAGCTTCTGTAAATTGTCTAAGTCACACAGCCACTGCTTTTCCAGCCCAGAGGCCAAACTGGATAAAGGCTATGCTGAAAATCACATTTCTGTCGCACACTTACTCGAGCTTGTGGTGCATGTTTGTCTTTTACCATCTTGCTTTGATGTCGTATTGATCCATCTGCTGGATTTTATCTTCTTTTCAAGCTAAAATGCTCCAAAAATATTGCAAACATCATTTCTCCTAATCTCACATCTAGCTGTGTATTTTTAGTTGCCGGGGGAGGGGGGGGCCTTGATGTCCACCCGGGTGGAGTGTGTTATGTGGTGTTATCCTTGTTGCCCTGAGACAACCACTCAAGACAATGATGTTTGCCAGTAACAACACAATCACACCAGTCTGCTTACCCCAGTTTCTTTTTCGACCGGCAAATTACATGGAGCAAAAGCCGCAGCCCTTTGAATGAATCACGTTTGGACAAAAATAACAAAACTGGCACCGATAACAAAACTGTTTTTCCTGCCTGGTGATTGTCATACACGTTTGGTAAATACCAACCTTTTTTAGATCTCGCCGACTTTTTTCTTTTTTCCCTGGAATTCCCCTCACCCTGTTATAATCACATGCTACACACTCAGATCAAGAGACACCCCTTATTTATTTTCACAGCTTTGTTAAACTTTTAATGTGCGCAGGCCCACTCCGCAGCCGCAGAGTGACTCACGGAGAGGCTGAGGGTGCATTTTTTTCACATGATTACCTTTAACCGCTTCCTGTTTGTCCCACAGTTGCTGCAGATTGTGACGGTGTCTAAGAAGCGCTGGAGAGCCCGGTCTCGTGGAGCAGGAGCGAACGGGTGGAGCGAAGAGGGGGAGGAGGAATTTGAGAGTGGCGACTGTGACGACGAGGACGAGTGCGCGGGGGTGTCTGGGCTGGGCCCGCCGCCACGACGCAAGCGATTACGCATCTTTGCAGGTTAGACGCACACGATATGGACTTTAATTTGTGTGGTTTTAAGTGATGCTGTATCCATGCTCACGAATCAAAATCAGCTTAACTTGTATTTATGAGCCAGGCTGTAAAAGGAAGAAGAAAAAGGTTGTTTAGTTGTTTATGTTTGTGCCCGCTAACCAGATTAACAGATCTGGCCTCTTTTGCAGCGAGTCAGAGCGATCGCAGTCCAAAGCAGAGAGGTGGTTTACGTGACTGCTGTGCATGTTGACACCAACGTGACACTATGTGGCAGGAGACATGAGACTTCCACAGGTAGCTGCCTCACCTCCACCTCGTGACCTGCCGTCAATCTTGTGAAAAACGTCAGATGCACGCTGTGAAAGACAAACAGAGAACAAAAAAAAGGCCACAAACAGTTGGAAGAAAAAAAACCAAACAGAAGAAGAGGGAGAAAACACCCAGGGAGCAGAAACAAGAGGGTTCGATACACTGATACAAAGCCAGCGCAGCTGAGCAAACACAGCAGTGGGAGTAGTCCTCCTGTCTGGGATGTTGTGGCAGAGATTTGGGTTTGCCGGGCAGGGAGCGAGAGCAGGAACCCAGGGTTCACACAGGAATCCTGCAGGGCCATCGCTTCCAGCGTGAGAGCCTGATGCCCTCTCTTAAACACTCCTGTCAGCCTCTCTGTGCAGCTCTGCTTCACTGCAGTATATTTCTAGATTAGGTATGTGTGCATCAGTGTGTGTTTGCAACCACCTGAAAGCCTGTTTGCACCGGCCTCTATGCAAGTCAGTAATGTTTGTAGACCTTGAGAAGTCGGTGCTTATTGGCAGATGCGCAGATAGCTGCTGATAGCCTGTGATGACCTAGCAAAATGCTGACCCCACACGGCCTCTCAGTCCATTCTGGTCAAATGGGGGACTGGAGTTCAAAGGTTAACCTGCAGAGCAGAGGGGCCTAATGGCCTGCTTGTCTGTGCTCTGCTGGTCTGAGATGGACGAGGCAGATCGGATTTCACAAAGCCTGGTAAGCGATCAGTGGTGTGACACACACGCATACCCACACAGGCCGTGGGGAAAGGTGACCGAAGCCACAACAACAAGGTGCAGACAGGCAGGGCTAAGCCACCAACGTAGTCAGCTGTCAGCCTGGTGACCAGAGCGAGGCTGTTACCAAACGGTAACGACGGATCTCTCCTCACCGACTCTCTGCGCAGATTCCATAACCTTCTGACAACACATACGCAGACCGACACGCTTCTCCTCCCGAGCCAATCAAACCTTCGCGCTACACATTCCCCAGAACATTCCAGTCCCGGAGCTATTCCAGGACAGGGACACCCCACCACCACCTGCCCCACCTCCATACCTCCTGAACCAAACTGGTTGCAAATTACACACCAAAGAATCTCTATGCCATGACCTGAGGTGGTGTTAAAAAAAGAAAACAGCATTAAATTTGCGAATCATTTAATGATGCAAATGTTGCATTAGCGGGGTTGTGGATACATTTTTATGATCACTGGATTTACAGGGAGATTTATTGAAATGTGGTTGGTAAATAGACTCATTCTTATAGCGCTTTTCTACTCTCCTGGAGTACTCAAAGCGCTGTATACAACACATTCACCCATGACACAAGCACTGTTATCTATACTTTCAGTGCTTTCTAACTGTCATTCATACGCATTCATACTCCGATGGGTGCATCGGAGTTCAACTCAGAGTTAGTATCTTTGGCATGCAAACTGGGGGAGCCAGGGATCGAACCACCAACCTCCCAATCTGAGCAACAGCAACCAGGTTCTGGGCCTTAAGTAGGCTGTATCGTGACAGAGCCTCCACCGTGCTTTACCACAAAGTAAGATATTAAGTTCTGCCATAACTACCTAATGTTTTACTACAAGGACTGGATCCATCTCTCACATCCTGTGTCATATGTGTTCAGATACTTTTTATAGGCTGCAGACAGTTTTTAGGCCTGATACTACTTCTTTTATCCTCCACTTGTCCTGTTTCCTCAAACTTTTGAAGGACAAACTGCACAACACCATGAAGTTTTCAGCTAATAGCTCTTTAGAAATATAGTTTTATACTGTTATGTGTAGACATTAAGCTGGTTCATCTCTTGAGTTAAGCTCCTTTTTTATGCTTGACTGAATCCTAAGTCAGTGTAAAGTGTCTTAACAACCAAGCAAAACAAAACAAAACAAAAGTCATTCTTCTGAAAATGGTCAGGTACAAGTAACGGACTGAAGAAATGTTGAAAGACGACTTTAAAATGACTAGAAAGAGGCTCCTTGGAAGGAAAATATGAAGGAACGATGGAAGTCTTTGCACAGTACTGTACCTATGAATAGATGTGTGTTTGTGAACAGATGGAGTTGTCTCTAGCTTTGTTGTAGTCCAGTAAAATGTGATTCTATATGGCGTGTCTTTACCTTTATGATGAGGGCTCACCTGTGTTTCTGTGCTTTCATGCACACCTGGCCTCTGACTGTATGGCCTCTATGAGAAACAAAGGATGTGCCGCCATCTCTGCAAAAACCTGCTCACAGATTCCTCTCAAAGCCTCTCTTCATTGCCTGAGCCACACATTTTTTTCTCCTGTTTCCACCTGGTGCTAAAAAACTTCACAAAAACATCTGCTAATACACACTCATTTACTGCATAAAGTCTTAAAATTTGAAGAAAAAATTTAATTGTGAAAAGCTGGCAGTGAGGGAATCATCTGTTTCCAGCTCAGTGTGGAAGCCCAGTGAAATACAGCAGATAACTCCCAGTAGGATCAAGGTAATATTTCATGGTCCAGTCAGTACACAGTGGGAAAACGAGTGATTAATCCAGAGAAGTGGCTAAGATAATCACACAATTTTAATTCCCTTTAATAAAAGGGTTGTTTTTTGTTTTTTTTGTGGCGCTAAGTGGACTACTACTAAACAACCTGCGAAAATGGCTTTTTGATGCAGTTTGGAAACATTCGGTAGTCTGCAAGCAAACAGTGTGCTCTGCTTTGGCTCAGCAGCTCAGATCCCTGCCTCGTGTGTTTTCTTGCTGAGCTGGACGGGCTTTTGCTCGCTATGCTCAGCAGGAGCCACGTGAATAGACCTCTTGTTATGTTCCTGAGCTCAGACATTCGCTCACTATAAGCGCCCCGAAGGAAAGCCGTTCCTTTGGGAGCTCTGGATCTTTTTTATCAGCGCCAGAGGTTAGCAAAATACAAAGTGGAAATATTCCTGTAATGTGAAACACGCGGCTTACGATGAGAGGCTGGGCTCGGCTCACCTTTCAGGTCTGCTACAAATTTTGCGGCTGGAACAAAGGAGTGAGTAAAAGAGCGAAGAAGGTGATGAGAGAATGTGGGGAACGAACACAAAGAGACAAAAACACCTTTGATAACTGTAAAGGCTGATACACTGGGAAACCTAAACATTCTTTATTCTGTATGTGGGTCAAATTAACAGCCTAACGTGCTGTCAGTGCTCCAGCATGGTATGTTAATTAACTGCAGCTGTGACCTCTGACCCTTCTGCACCTGATAGGTGAGTCACACGGTGCCTGTCTTCCACAACAGTGTTTGCACATGTCTTCATCACAGCGGACACAGTTTACATTAACAGCACCGGATGCATCCACCGTATAAGCAATTTCCTTCTTCTTCAAGCTTCGTGTAATTTCATAGAGCTGATCATCAGCGCTACTGTATTCATGAAGAGTCATCAACATATGGTTGCCAGCCAGGGAGGCTCGGTGCCACAGGCCAGGATGAGAAAGAGACGGGCTCAGACGGTGCACATGTGAGAGGAAGCGTGCAGGTGCCTGCATGCCCACGTGGCAGGCAGAAAAAACACACTTCACTCCTTGGCCCGTGCATCGATCAGCATTAAGTTGTCTTTTTACACATTTCATTCAACGTTTTTCTTTCTAAAATTATGACATCTAAAATTATTTTTTGAAAAAAAAAATTGTAAAAACATGTTGGGTAACAGGAGGTGAAAAACGATTAAAGAAAAACATTGAAATGAAGTCAAATACTGTGAGCTCTGTGTGGTGATTGGACAAACTATTAGATGCCGAGACTAGTTTGAATTTGAGTGCCAAATGTGCCAACAGTTATTACCCAGGTTATCAATACGATGCCAGATCTGAAGTGTTTACCTCTATAAGGAGTTCAGAACTAATTAAGTACGAAGAAAATGTGATAATATATCTGTCAGTGAACCACAAAGTTGCTGTTAAAGGAGGTGGTTACTGTAATGTTTTGGACATTTCATTATTAGCACTGTATTCTCTAAAAGTGATACTCGTAATCTCTCAACCTTGCTAATGGTTTGTTTCCTTTTTCAAATACCTGCAAAGGTATTTAGATAGATCACAGGTGGTCAATCCAGGCCTCGACGGCCAGTGTCCTGCAGGTTTTAGATGTGTCCTTAATCCAACACAGCTGATTTAAATGGCTAAATGACCTCCCCAACATGTCTTGAAGTTCTCCAGAGGCCTGCTAATGAACTAATCATTTGATTCAGGTGTGTTGACCCAGGGTGAGATCTAAAACCTGCAGGACGCCGGCCCTCGAGGCCTGGAGTTGCTCACCCCTGAGATAGATAAATGGGTCAGTTGGTGGTTACACTGTGGAGCTTTTGTCCGTATTAAAATACATAATGACATCAGAGTTCCTGCAAATTTGTTTGCGGCACATCAATGACGTGAATCTCCCATTCTCACACGACATGAGTACATGTCAAGAAACCAGTTTGAGGTGATTTCAGCTTTGTGACATGATGAGTAGCCTGGTGGAAGCAGTCATCAGCAGATGGGTGCACTGTGGTCATAAAGGGATGGACATGGTCAGCAACAATACTCAGGAAGGCTGTTGCGTTTCGTTGATACTCAGTCGGTACTAATGGTCCCAAAGTAGGACATTAAAGTAATCGCCACAGCTTCACACACAGCAGGATGGATCCATCTTTTCATGTTTACAACAAATTCTGCAGTGGCACCCAATGCGGTCACGTTGTGCAT